ATGTTAAAATGGAAAGAAAATAACATTTACGGGACTTTTATTTAGAAATTTTATATTGCCACCTATTCACACATGGCGACTCAAAACAGCTTACATGAATATAAAAACAGCATATATAAAAAATAAAACAAATAGAAGAAAATAATAAAATAATAAAATGATATAATAGCCCCCCCCCCCCGCCACCCTGGTAACAGCGCATCACACAAGCCATTTAATGGGCTCCATCCCGCTCTGGGTTCCCCAGGCCCGCTGGCAGCACCTTCTGGAGGAGTGTTAGAGTAGGGGCCATTCTAATCTCTAGGGTAATGATGTTCTAGATTAAGGGAGCCACCGTGGAGAAGGCCCATCTTCTGAATCCCACCAGGTGTATCTCCCTAGAAGGATGGGACAAGCAACATTCCTTGTTTCCCCACTCTAGTGGGTTGTGCATATGTGACTGGCAAGAGATGGTCTCTCAGATAACCTGGTCCCAAGCCATGAAGGGTTTTAAAGTTGACAACACCTTTATTATTAAAATCATGGTGTTAAGGCTGGAGCTGTGCTGGTCTGTTCAAATATCTGATGTATATAGAATAGAATAGAATAGAATAGAATAGAATAGAATAGAATAGAATAGAANCCGGTGCAGCGGTGCTGCTGAGCCCGCCTGCCCGCCCATTGCCTCCTGTCCTCCCTCGCCCTCTCTGCCCGCCGGGATGGAGCTGGAAGCCTTGCTGGAGCAGTCGGTGCCCTGCCGCCACTTTAAAGCCATGTCTCAGCCATGTCTCAGGGGCATGGCTTTAAAGTGGCAGCAGGGCCCCAGCAGCAGGACTTTAAAGTCCCGGTGCCGTCCACCATAGAGCGTGTCCCGGTCCCGCTCTATGGCAGATGCGGCGCCGGGGCTTCAGCGGGGCTTTCGCGCTTGCCTCACCAGCCATGAAGCTCACCGCATGTCACTGTGTACAAGGTATCTTTTTTCATAAGCTTAGCCTTCTCCCAATATCTCCTTTCTTAGATTTATATGATGTTTTAATACTAGCAAGGTAATAATCTCCTAGAGAATCAAAATGCTGAACTTTTATTGTTTGTCATCGCCTCCGTACTGCATTCTAACCACTGCACCACCACGGCTCTACTAGTTACATAATCAAGCTGGCATGTCTGAATTTTGCAGCAATTGGATAGGATCATCATGTATCCCAAACACCCTTTGCTTCACTTAAGGAGACAGTAGTTACTGGAAGATTGTATCCCTTGCTCAGAAATAATGCTGGTCCAAACAATCCGCCTGTCTTTTTTTCAATCAGCTTTTTCAATATGAAGAAGGAGCGTTTGATCTTCAAACACAGGAGGAATTCATTTATTCATTCACAGGAGGAACTCCTCAAAGCTTTCTTCCCTGTGAAAAATATTTCTGATTTCCCACCTTATTGTCAGGAAGCTTGAGAGTCTCTTGATAATTTCTACAGTTTTGGGTAACTTAATGGCAACTCATTAGTATTTCCTGTTTTGGGTCATACATCTTTCCATTACACCAGTGTTCTTCAAATTGGGCAACCTTGTGCTGGCTGGGGAATTCTTGGAGTTGAAGTCCACATATCTTAAAGGTGAAAAACACCGCAATACACTAAGGCATCCCTGGCTGTTCATATCTTGTAATAAGGCACAAGGTGAGCCGACCATAATCTATTTTCTTCAAATAAACTGAAGGCTGAGAAGTCTACAAAGCTGTAGATTTTTTTTTAAATCCTCCCTCCTCCCCACACTCTCCTTAGCTAGCTTATACATAAACACAAGAACACCTCACCCTTCTAATGAGAAATCCACCCAAACTATTCTCTCTTTCCAAGAACTTTCAAAAGCAGTTTTTCCTTCATCAAGTTGAATACGAATTAAAGTGAATGCTTGTCCTGACACCGACTGGCTGAAGCCATGTGGGAGGGATTACAGCTGTTAAAGCCTAACAGCTCTTGAAAGAACATCAAGTTTGGGTGAAGTTTCCAGGGACTAATCCATACTGGGAAAATGAGGGTTCATTTTGTCTTTTAAGGACAGATGGAAACAGCATCTTGAGAAATGCTGCCATAAAGCCAATTCTGCAGAGGAACAGTCAGAAGCTGATTGGCAAAAGGCTGCCCTTCTCTTGCAGATGTGTCATTACATCTCTGAGCACTAATGCTTTTACTCCTATCCTACTGAGAAGAGCCAAATTTTGCAGCTGCTTTAAAGATGCTTTAAGGGTTGTATGACAAATCAGAGCCTATCTAGAGATCACTTTTCCTGGATCAGCAACAAACAGGACTCTTCACCCTTTTTTCAGAGTCAGGAAGCAATGCAATGTTGGGGGAGAGCGGATATGCATTTAGGCCAAGCTGGAATTTACAAAGGAGACGTATCTGCGAATTGTCTGTCATTAGCTGAAAAGCAGCCAAAAGAGGCTGCTAGTTTTAAACAGAAGCATTACAGAAATAAAATGATTTAGCCTTTGTCCTTTTTTTCCCCCAGTTCAGTATTGTCAATCCTATTTTACCAACCTCAGGAAATATCTAAAGCGCCATCCCCTGTGTTTTCCTTTCTTTTCCCCTTTCCTTCCAGGAGAAAAGCAATTTGGGGAGAGCTGAAAATTATAGGAAAAGGTCAACTAGCTGATCCATATTTTCCTCCTGTAATAAAACTGGAAATCTCAGGAAGTTCCTTTCAAGCTTAACAAAACACAGAGCCTATTCATACTTCCTCGCATTGAGCTCAGCTTGCTTCTCAAAAGTTAGCCTCAAATCTCATCGTCAGAGTTGTAAAGGATTATGACTTGCAATACAGATATTCATCCCTGTTTGCTCTTTAATAAATTTTGACTGTCCTCAAAACCTGCAAAACTACCATTTGTCCAGAAGAGGCAGCAAGACCCTAAAATAAGCGTGCCCCACCATAAAACACACCCTAGCCGCCAATTTCCATAAATCTTAATTTGTTATTTTGCCTCCATCTCTCTTTCACAAAGGAAACATTTTATGTGTAGTGTAGTCACACTCATTTGACATTTACCTAAAATTGCAGCAATGGTAACAAGGGGGCATTGTGAAAAAATGTTGCTTCAGACACTAGTTGTGTGCTTTAATTGGGAAAATGTTGTACTATGTTTTACTACTCAACGTATCTATTAGTTCTTAAGGTCAAGACAAGACCCCTCCAGCTGAATAGTAATAGGTAGAAAACAAGGATTGTGTCCATTATTGAACTTGGCAATGATAATGTTGGAAGAAATGTCCTTCTGGGTTCAGTTCCAAGTGGGGAAAAAGACACTGGAAATATGGTGGCTGTTTGGAAAGATGGTTTTAATGGTGGACAGGAATACATGCCTTGAAGACGTTGGGTGAATGGGGAAAAAAAGGAAAAGATGCTGAGAGTGCCTGAGTTTTATACCCTCTCTGTGCTTTTGAATTTGAGCTTGTATTCTGATTGGTTGTCAGACTTCCATGCAGCGGCAACCCTGTAGGCTGTCCTGAANGTGGAAGGAAGGAAGGAAGGAAGGAAAAGAGAGGGAACAGAGGAAAAGAGAGAGGGAGGGGAATGTGGAAGGAAGGAAGGAAGGAAGGAAAAGAGAGGGAACAGAGGAAAAGAGAGAGGGAGGGGAATGTGGAAGGAAGGAAGGAAGGAAGGAAAAGAGAGGGAACAGAGGAAAAGAGAGGGAGGGGAATGTGGAAGGAAGGAAGGAAAAGAGAGGGAACAGAGGAAAGGAGAGAGAGAGGTGGAGTGAACTGAGGAAGGAAGGAAGGAAGGAAAAGAGAGGGGACAGAGGAAAAGACAGAGGGAGGGGAATGCGGGAGAGAGGGAGTGAACAGAGGGAAGGAAGGAAGGGAGGGAGGGAAAGACAGAACAGAGGCAGAGAAAGAAAGAAATTTGGAACTAATGAAACATTAGCATATTATTAACATCATCTGGGGCTTTCATTTAAGGCTGATTGAAGCCACTTGGGGACTTCCTTTAAAGACGGGGAAAGAGGTGGGCGTTGAAAGCGGGATGAAAGAAACGGAGACATGGTTTTGAGCAGATTCAATTAATTCCATGTCCGTTTCCCAACTCCTTTCTTCCCGACGGTTTCTTGACTTATCGCCTGTTGCTCGCTGGGAAAAGAACCAGCACCCAGGGATTCAGGGAAGTCAGAAACAGAGACTCCTGAGGGCCTCGATAAAACAGCCAAGAAATGTCTTAGAAAGGAAGTAGGCGGAGAACATATTTCTTGGACTAGCTGATAAACCGGCATTGCCTGGATGTTTATTTATCGTAATCCTGTCTAATACAGGATTACTTCTAATGTTGGATTTTCTGCCTTGCCAGAGGAAGTCCCCTTGTGGAGTACTGTGAAGCCGTTACCATTGGCAACTCCACTGCACTGTACAGTAGAATCCATTTTATGGCAGTACGGTAGAAGCCATTTGAAGGCACAACAGGCTGTATCTTAACAGAACACACACCCCGAGGGTGTCTTAGGGGTGTCTTCCCTCCCCCCCAGTATTTGTTTCCAGAGAGTAAGTCATCTGTCTACCAAGTTTGGTTGAAATTGCTCAAGGCGTTCCAGGGTTATGCTGGAACATACATACATACACACACATACTGTACACACAGATCTCTTTTATTTCTGTCTCCTTGTTGCTCACAAAGCAAATTTCAGAGTCCAAATCTTTCAATGTGGTAGAAGTTACAAGCAGAACGAAAGCAGGAGAGAACAGTTAGTTTCATGTCAGAGTTCAGAGCAGACAGAGTAGTTTCAGTTTCGATTCTCAGCACAGACTCAGATCTATTTAAGCTCCCATTGGCTGACTTAGTTGCTCTGCCTATTCATTGGCTGAACTTGTTAACATGTGTTCCAAGTCAGGAAGCTAACCAGCTGAATACCATGGAGGCTGGTAGCCAGAGGCGGGATTTTTTTTCCCTTCTCATTTTCCTCCCCGAAAACTAAGGTGCGTCTTAGACTCCGGAGCGTCTTATACTCTGAAAAATACGGTACTTGAATTTGTGTTTCTGCCTTCAGCTTGCCCTTGAGGTTTTGGGTGAACATGATCAAAAATCCCCAGTTTGTCTTCGACATTCACAAGAACAGCATCACGGATGCCTGCTTATCGGTGGTAGCACAAACCTTCATGGACTCCTGTTCAACTTCAGAGCACCGTTTGGGCAAAGATTCCCCATCGAATAAACTGCTTTACGCCAAGGATATTCCCAGCTACAAGAACTGGGTAGAAAGGTAGGTCTCACTCTTCCGCGCTCTCTGTCTCTTTTTTCTCTCTTTCTCCTTTCTCTCTCTTCTCCTCTGTCTCTCTCTCCTCTGTCTCTCTCTGTCTCTCTCTTCTCTCTGTCTCTGTCTCTCTCTTCTCCCTCCCTCCTCTGTCTCTCTCTTTTTCTTCTCTCTCCTCTCTCTCCTCTTTNCTCTCCTTCCTTCCTTCCTTCTTTCCTCTCTCCCTCCCTCTTTTTCTTCCTTCTTCCCTCCTCCCTCCTCTTATTTACCTCTCCTTCCTTCTTTCCTCCCTTCCTCCCCCTTTTCTCCCTTCTTCTCTATTTCCTTCCTTCCCCCTCTTATTTACCTCTCCTCCCTCTCTCCCTCCCTTTCCTCTGTTCCCTGTCTTTCCCTCATTCACTCCCTCCCTCCTTTTCTTCCTTCTTCTCTACTTCCTCCCCTCCCCCCCTCTATTTTTTGTCTCTTTCCCTCCTGGTGCCCCCTTCTCCTCCCAGGGCACTTTGCAGAAGTTTGTGGATGACCTCTTTGAGACAATCTTCAGTACGGCCCACCGAGGGAGTGCGCTACCCTTGGCCATCAAGTACATGTTTGACTTCCTGGATGAGCAAGCAGATAAGCACAACATCCACGATCCACATGTGCGGCACACCTGGAAAAGCAATTGGTGAGAGCTTCCAAAGAGCCCAGAACACCTTCCCTCCCCCGCAACCCCCCCCCCAAACGGGGCCAAAAGAGGAAGCCATTTGCAGAAGGTTCCTAAAATTTAAGGGCATTTTGGAACCTTCCCACCCAAGGGAACCAGAAGCAGCCAGGGCAGAGTCCAGAAATGCCACTTCCGAAATATCAAGTAGTCCTTCGCTTATGATCGAAGAGGGGGAGGAAAAAGGGAACAGAGGGGAAGGAGGAGGGAGGGGAAAGAGTGAAAGGGGAGGGAGGGAGGAAGGAAAAGAGAGGGGACAGAGAAAAAGGAAGATGGAGGGGGAGTGAACACAGGAGGAAGGAAAGGGAGGGAGAGAGGAAAAGAGAGGACAGAGGAAAAGAGAGGAAGAAGTGGAGTGAGCTGAGGAAGGAAGGAAGGAAGGAAGGAAGGAAGGAAGGAAGGAAGGAAGGAAGGAAAAGAGAGGTAACAGAGGAAAAGAGAGGGGGAGGGGAGTGAACATGGGAGGGAGGGAGGGGATAGAGGAAAAGAAAGAGAGGGGCAGTGAACATGGGAGGAAGGAAGGAAGGAAGGAAGGAAGGAAGGAAGGAAGGAAGGAAGGAAGGAAGGAANCCAATAGGTTGCCAGACAAGGAAAGAATCTCTCTGCTGGGGTGTTGACCTGAACGGAGGTTTTGGAGAGGAAGCAAGATTTTGGCTGTCACCGAAGCCCCCGGTGTTTCAGGAGAGATGATTGGTGTGACAGCTTTATAATTCTCTGCTGTTGACTTTCGGCCCAGGGAAAGCCGCGGAAGGTGGTTTAACACTCAGAGCCTCCCATCCTTTCCTTGCTCACCGCCAACGCCGGCTGATTTATGTAGCATTGATTCTGCTGACACTTTCAAAGCGCCACAGCCAGCAGAGCGAATCAGAGAGCGGTGGAGGGAGGGAAGGGAGCGATTTCCCAGAGAGAAATGGGGGAGAGACCGGGGTGGGGGGCATCCCTTTTGAGGGGGGGTGCTGGCCCCCTTTCCTCCCCCTCCACCCACTCTGATCTTGCCCTGCCCCTGAAGGGAAGGGATCATGAACCCCCATCTGGCCTTTCATTTCTCCAGCTGAAATACGTGGCTCGCTGTTGGTCGTGGTGCCTTTTGCAAGACCTGAGTAAATGAGACCTGGGCAGGAGTATTATTCACTTACCTCCCCTAGATAAAGGTTCCCTTTGCACATATGTGCTAGTCGTTCCTGACTCTAGGGGGCGGTGCTCATCTCTGTTTCAAAGCCAAAGAGCCATCGCTCTCCGAAGACGTCTCCCTGGTCATGTGGCCGGCATGACTCAACGCCCGAAGCTGCATGGAACGCTGTTCCCTTCCCACCAAAGGTGGTTCCTATTTTTCTACTTGCATTTTTTACCTGCTTTCGAACTGCTAGGTTGGCAGGAGCTGGGACAAGCAACGGGAGCTCACTCCGTTACTCGGCGCTCGGGATTCGAACCGCCAAACTGCCGACCTTTCTGATCGACAAGCTCAGCGTCTTAGCCACTGAGCTACCGCATCCCTTCCCTTCGCAAAAATGAGCGCTTTGCCTTGAAAAGGTGCCTAAATGGGACGGCATGGAGCCAGGACGGGCGGGCAGTCCCACCCGAGATTTCGACTACCAGTTCGGGTGAACCTGTCCAAACCGGCTGAATACGATCTCTGGACCTGGGATAAACTTCTGGGATGAAAGTTCTCCCAGAGAACGTTGAACAACAGATTGGAAGGGACCTTGGAGATCCTGTAGTAGCAGTTTAGCAATAGCAATAGCAGTTAGACTTATATACCGCTTCATAGGGCTTTCAGCCCTCTCTAAGCGGTTTACAGAGTCAGCATATCGCCCCCACAGTCTGGGTCCTCATTTCACCCACCTTGGAAGGATGGAAGGCTGAGTCAACCGGTTCCACCACAAAACCGCGAAGCCCTTATCCGCGCCGACATAAGTGTGGAGG